TCTTTATGCCTCCAAAGATGGACATTCATCTTTAGAGGCATCCGTATCCACTACATACGAGCCACATGGTGTGTGAGATAACTTCCTGACCCCTCATCTTGAAATAACATACAAAATTTACACATTGGAAAATGCAGAATTGTGATATACCACTAGAGGGAGCTCTTGTACTTCCTGAGTACCTGTTCCCCCAGCTTGCTGATTGCTGCTCTTTGAACAGATTTATAAATCTAACCCTTGCTGTGTTTGTCCCCCTCCTCAGGAGCCTCTGAGCCAAGTCGCTACCAGAGAAATGAAAAGTTAGACCAGAAGATTTCAGTGTACAGTGGCGACATCACCAAGCTGGAGATAGATGCCATTGTCAATGCAGGTACAGAATGAGTGTTTCCTTAGCTGTTTTGTCTCTGAATAACTTCAGTCACCATAAAAAGGAAAGAACAATTCTTTTCTTGCATCATAAACTAGATGTATGTTTTTTTCCCCCCTTGCTTCAGTCTCCAACAAAAAGCAGAAGAATTAACACTCTGAAGAACACGAGAAGGGGAAATCTAAAAAGGCATTATGAATTTAAAAGGTTCCAGCAGTGTTTAGCCTGGCTGTGCATTGATGTGCCTATGCATAAATTTTGCAGGAAACATCTGTGAGCAACGTCAAAGCTGTAATTATGTGCATAATGTATTTTTCAAGTGTTGGTGGGACAGCCAGAGGCTTTCAAGTGATTATCAGCATTGTGTTCAAGATATTCTTTCAACTAATTTAAGTACCCTTCTAACGAAAGCGAGAACAAGAGAACTGCTATTTAGAGCTGTTGAAAATACCAAAGATTTCCAATACAAATATAACAAAGGGACTGCTTAGCTTTTAATGAATGGTGGAAGCTTGTGACCGATAAAATAATCCCTTTTTGCCTCCACAGCTCAGGTCAGGTTTCGGTATTAATTGCTAAAATGCAAAAACTTAGGAGCATTGTGAGAAAGGAGAATAGAAAAATCAGTTAATGTCTACATCGTTTCAAGAAGAAGTGTTGCATTTTCTTCTTTTACGATATCTTAGGATAAGATCAAGAACAGAAGGTTTGCATGAATACCCAGTGACAGAGACTTTGGAATAACTTTTGTAAATAGAGACACTGATTAGACTTAGAAATAGTTGAGCAAAATGCCTTTTATTTGCTTTGGTCATGATACCTCATAGTGGCTCAAAAGCCTGAGTGAGAGCCGATCCTAAATTTGGGGCCAGTTTTTAGGTGGAGTAATGAGATTTGCAGATAAACAAGGACACTGCAATGCTCGCATTGATTAGTTGAATACAAAGCTGTGTGTGTTTGGAATAAATTAGATTTTTTTTCTTTGTGTTCATGTGTTAAACGGCTCTCTATAAGAACCAGTTGGTTTAAAAAAAAAAAAAAATCTGATAATTAGCAAGTTAAACGACAGGACGTCCCTAGAAACGTGCTTTGGAGCATTTGGGGCCCGTTTGTGATGTATAAGCCCTTGTATGTATCGTCAAACTGGTGGTTGGAGGAAGGCTGTTTTTGGATCCGGGCGCCGGAGCAGATCTCCCCTGTAGGCTGATGTGTTCTAGAGATGAATCTCCTTCCATCTGTCAAGCTTGGCCCAGACTCTGCGGTGGTCAAGTATCACTGATCCCAAACAAAGCAGTAAATCTGCAACAGAGAGAATGATAAACAACTGAAGGTATGTCAGGGAACAGCCTGATGGAGTCAAATGTGTGCAAACCTTAAGGAATTAAAGACGTGTTGTAAAGTAGGATGAATCTAAAGTCCTCAACAACAAACTGACTTATTACAAGGAAACCAGTTCTTGGTTAGAGCTGCTAAAAGTGATTGTAATGTCTGCTGATTCATGGATTGGGCTCAGTTTAGGTTTTTTTGACTTCTTGAAAAATCACTGAAAAAGCTATTTATTTCATGTGTGAGATTTTAGGTCAAATTTCATACCTAAATTCTGACTTTTAGGCTTCCGATGAAGAGAACAGAACTGACGTGATCTATTTTCTAGTGTCATTACGCAGAGCAGGCCTTTGCTTTGGTTTTTTCTAAACTTGCTTGGCGCCAGAGTTCCTCTGCAGTTAAAAAAGGTCTGGATATGATTGGAAACATATCAAATTGGAGCATAACTAGTTGAAAAAGTACACTTCTGAGTTTAAAATGCTGAGATTAAGCAATTAAAAAATAAAATGTTCCCATGTCAGTTCAGCAAACCAACCAAAATTTATCGTCCCTTTTTAGTTTTGGCTTTAAGAAGCTAAAAAGTAGTCTTAAAGCCCTAATGGTTACCATTAGATGGAGCCAAATACTGGTGTATTCCACCAGGAGTGTCTTCTCTAAGGCACTTTTAGTATTTAGGGGAAATTTGATCTAAGTCTTGGCACAGGTGGCGTATCAGCAGCGAGCGGGGCGGACGGGCCTAAACAATGCTTTATGATGAGGCTTCAGCTGAAAATTATGGATTTTTATTGGCAGCTGACTGTCAGCAGGCGGACGCTGTGCCAGCACCTAATAAACATGTTGATTGTTGACTTCTGTTTATACAGTTATTGCTTTTGTTTGTGTGCAGCCGTGTGGCTCTGCCTACAAATATTTGGGTAATTATGAGTGTTTACACAGTAAGTTACAGTCTGTGTGTGTCTGGGGAAGCTAGTTTGTATGTTGTTTTTTTTTTTTTAAAGGGTTTTTTTTAACAGAGTCTCAGGATGCAGGGTTGCGTTGAATTAACAAGATGAAAAGAGCTAGTAAAGTGTCGCTTTGCAGAGAGGACGAAACAAGGTGAGGCAGGGGAGAGACAAGAAAAAGAAGAAGAACTCTGAGGAATCATGACCGAGAGAGTCGGCGCGCTCAGAGTAAGAAAAAACCCAGAGAGGAGTCTGGGATAGAGGAGAGAAGAAGATAAAAGCCAGATGGGGAGAGGGCACAGGCTAGTATTTAAATCTTGCTCTGCATCGCCATGGCAACAAGCAGGTACAGGTTAGCCTGAAAAGGGCTTTGGGCAGAAAGGTCTGAACATCCTTTTCTGTCTGACTGATTGGCTGTCCTGCTGACTCTCTGTGTGGCTGTTTTGCTGGCTAAGAGGGCGACCTTCTTCCTCAGTGACTAACTGATTGACTAAGAGGCTTTGGGTGACAGTCGCACTTTAGGTAATGTGACATTGAAATGGGAGAGCGCAGCGAGCAGAGATGGAGTCCTCATCTTTTTTTCTTTTGCTAATCTTACCAGCATAGCTCCTGCTTAGAAAGCCTCCAAGACGGCGCCTTTGGTTTTTGACATGTGGAAGGGAGGGCTGTGGATTTTCTTTGGCTGCTCCAGAAGGCCTTGAAGCATCATTTAGCCCCTAAGGCGGCAGGCATTCAGTTGAAGCCAACTGCGGCCAATTATATGCAACACGGACAGACTGGTGGGAAGGTTGGGAGAAGGAGACTTCCAGGGCCTGCTGGTAGAGAGAAGCTGACACACAGATACAGAAACAAGCCCGTGATAAAGGCAAAGAAGCAAACGGATTCAGACATACGGCAGCAAAGGTCAAAGAGAAGAACGCAGCTTTAGCTTTGAAAAAAAATGGATTTCATATGAAATCAGAACATCTTTGTATCCAAATGTTTGGATACGCTCTGGGAATAATCATTAATAATCATTTAACCCATCAACATAGAAAAACTGTGATGGGGTTACCTCCTAGCAGAACAACCCCCCTCCTCCACTTGTTGCTGAACGCTGTCAGTCAGCTGTGGATGATGGTTAAAAACAGAAAGTTGGCTGGTAGGAACATTATGCTTTCTGCACCCAACTAAAGAATCCTCTCCTCTCCTCTCCTCTCCTCTCCTCTCCTCTCCTCTCCTCTCCTCTCCTCTCCCTATAAAGACTGGATTTACAGTAACTCTCATCTCCGCCTCCAACCTCCTCTTCTCCCCCCTGTCTCCCTCCTCTCCCTCCCACCCATGTCCCAACACTTTTACAGCCCCTGGCTTCTGCCCACTCCTATAAAACACTACAAACATAAAAACCCACAAGCACTTAAGAGCTGTCCTGGTAAGGAGGGCGGAGGGGACGTTTGGGTGGGAGGAGACGGTGGGCAGAAACATCCTCCTCTTTACACCCCTCAATCAATCCATCTGGAGAAGGAGATGGGGATGGAGGGGAGGATATATTGTCTCTGATGGGCTGGCTGATTAAGATGGATTGCACAATGAAATGTCGCAGGAGAAATGAGTTCTTGGCGCGGGTGTGTGCGTGCGCTTGCATTTACTTCACGTCTCTCCAACTAACTCTGCATTAAAACCTTTTTTCGATCTGATTAAATGCAAATTTGCTTGGCTTCACTGAGCTGGATTTTCACCTCCAAAGATCCTGTTCTTCATTTCATGTGTTATACTTGCTTATCCTCAGTTTGGAGCTGGTCAAGTTAAGAAATTGAAATTAAGTTTAAGTTTTCTCTGTAGAACAGCAAAGCTGCAGTGTAATTGAAAGTGATTTAGAAACAGATAAAGTGTCGCCTCTCTGCTGTTGGTGATGTCCTTTTTTTTTTCTTTTTCCCCCGGTGGAAGGAAATGCAGCAGCAGAGTAGGCTGATAAATCTTTCAAGCCAGGACATAAAAAACTGTCCTTAAATTAAGCCACGCTCTGTGAAGTGATAAATAATATTTCTGTGCTATCTCAGTCTTTAGAGCTCTTGTCATTGTCACAATTTAGAGCCTACAGGAGTGTTTTGTGAGTTTATGCAATACTTTACGTCATCAGTGGATCTGTGTGTGCGTTGTGAGGGGAATTTTACTTATTTTTTTGGTGCAGGTGTACTGTCATATGCATGTGTGTGCAGGAGATGGGGTCTCTCTTCTGCTGGTCAGAGATAAAGCTGTGCGTTGGCACTGAAAAGCCCTCTCAGCGTGGCAACAGCTGAGAGATACTAGATTAGAGTCGGACTGCAGGTGACAGACAGGATGAGAACCGGAGAGTCTCTGGACTGTGCTGCAACCTCCCTCGCTGATAAGAGACCTTAAAAACGCAGGCGGACCTGGTGATGGACGGCGCAGCCGGTGTGCTGACAGACAGTAAGGGGGGGAAGAGTCAGAAAAGGATGCAGCAGGAGGGTCAGCGTCTCCGCCTCAACCTCCTCTAAAGGCTCTTGTTTACAGAGAAAGATTGTGATGATCTCTGAACCAAACATGAACCAGATGATCTGTGTTCACCTTACAATATTGGATTTCTTTAAAAAAAATGAGTTGATGTAACAAAAAATACTGTTTTCCAATAATAGGTAAAAATAAAAAAAAACGTTATCCAAACTAGGGCTGAAACTATTAATTGGATTAATCATGATTAATCGATTATTGAAATAATCGTCCACTAATTTAGTA